GAACCAGTCTCTTTACAGTGGTGTCCAGCGACAGGACAAGGGGCAATGGGTACAAACTGAAACACAAGAGGTTTCAGTTGAACATGAGGAAAAATTTCTTTACTCTGAGGGTGACAGAGCAGTGGCACAGGCTGCCCAGGGAGGTTGTGGAGTCTCCTTCTCTGGAGATATTCAAAGCCCGCCTGGATGAAGTCCTGTGTAACATGCTCTAGGAGAACCTGCTTTAGCAGGGGGGTTGGACTAGATGGTCTCCTGAGGTCCCTTCCAACCCTTGTGATTCTGTGATCTGAGAAACCGTCTAAAACGTGGACAACCCAAAGCAGAGAGAAGGGCAAACCTTTTGCCAGGTTGCATCTAGGATGCAACCTTTGCAACCTTTTGCAGCCTTGCTGCATCCAAGGCAGCAGCCCACAGCGAGAGCACAGGTAGCACTATCTAAAGGACTAGCAGCATCTAAAATATGTAATGGGTAAGAGCTGTAGAATTTAATGAAAAGCAGCATATGTCTTTGGTTTTGCAATGCTTTTTTTTTCCCCTTACAAAACAAACCAGTTCAGGTTAGTAAATCTTAAATTCCCAATAAGCTAGACTAAAAAAGTAGGTAGGAGATTTAAATGCTCCAGACTTTATGAGGTAGACCCTACTTCTAATATCTGTGAAAGTTTATAACTTCTTTTGACTTCTAAACGGTTTTGTATTGGTATTGTTAAAGACTTTTAGACTTTGAATTAACGAGGCTTTAAAGCACATGCATAAGTCCTAGCGAAATTAAGAGGCAACCTTGGCAGGTCTTTATATAGTTTGCTGAATTCTTTGCCTTAGTTATTGACAAGGGAAAGCAGCAAAACAAATAAAAGCTGCGCTTAAAGACTGACACATACGTAATGGATGTCAAATATGTGTTGCATTATCAATGTAAAACAATGGTGTTTGTAAACCAACGGCGTTTTGCATAAATAACACATTACCAACTCAACGAATTAATTATCCTGAACAAGGAATTATTATTGTTATTATTATGTCTTCTGAGCTGTTTCAAGGGAATGTGCACTGTTCTGTGCTTGCCAGGATCCAAAACCTTTAAATGTTTCCCTTTTCCACCACAGTTAATCCCAGAGTGGCTCAACCAGACAATGATAACACAAGCAGGCACAGACCCACTCCATCTCCCCGCGGTCTGGATGCCTCACTGTTTTGTAGCAAGCGACTCCTGCATGCTGCCGTGATTTCTATTTCTACTGCTTTACATCTCTGATTAGCTTTCGGTTTTATTTGCTAGACAACTATCACATGTATCCAGTGGGGAGGGCCAGCCCACAATGAAATCAAAAGAGATGTTTGGAGACTTTATTCTGCACAGTCCTGCAATTTGGGACTGTATTCCAAGTTCTTAATGTTACAATAATGTAATATCTGGCCATAAAACTATATGGGATGCCAATTTAATGTTGTGAAAAGAAGAACACTTACCTTTATCAAAAATTTCTTTCAGCACTCCTCGTTTTATAAGCTCCTCTCTGCTTTGCCTCATTGATATTTTTCTTTCCAAAGCTGTAAGCAAAGGAGAAGGGTGAATATAAATAGAAAAGAAGGGAAATGATTTTTTTTTTTTTAAAAGGCTCTGTGCTTTTTAAGGCATTTAAAACATGCTTTTTCTCTTCTTCGAGTCAGTGGCAAATTAGCATGTCAAAATAAAGGCCACCGGCAGTCCAGGGAATGTGCCTGCTGCTGTAGTGCGGCCGTTATTGACAGAAATGGCGATGGACCGACCCATCTGAGGGCAGGCCTGCACTCCTGTTGCTTAACTTTAACACATGACCGAAGCATTGCTGTGGAGAATTAGAGACAGCAAAGGTGATTAGTGTGGACAGCAGAGGGGGAAGGTAAGAAAGGAGGCGACGCCAAGGATCACACCAATGAAAGCCGTGGCTGTGGACTGTCCCCAGGCCACGGAAGAGGACAGGCACTGTTGCTGCCCTGAAGCCAAAACTCGTTTCCCACTAACTCCAGAGAGAGCAGAGCAAGGTGTTTGGGATGGTGCAAAAAAAAAAAAAGAACTGTTTCGTGGAGCCTTCTCCTCCCTGGAGGGGTGTTTTCCCCCAAAAAGGTGTAAATTAGGGGAGTTACATGAGAGTCACTGCAATTTACACCAGGTCTGAACAGCCCGAGTCCTGTATTGCCAGCTTGGAGACCGTGGTCACTGGGGCGGCAAAACGACAGATAGAAATTCCATGTTTGTTTAGTTCAGCAGTAATTAAAACTATGTCCAATTAACCAAAACACCACAAAGGACATGCATTCAGGCAAAGAGCTGAAAACCAGCAAGCAAGGGGCACAAGAAGCGATGCGCAGGACTGGCTGCGACCGCACGCGCTCTGCGAGAAACAAGGCTGTGCCTGCCAAAAAAGAGGCACAGTCAAGGGCGAATCACTTCTGCCATATGCTCCGCTATCAGGCCCACCGCAGATGCACTCACACACACACAAATGAACTGGGACTTTGCATCTCCAGTCTGCCCAAGGCAGATTTAAAGCAAAACAGGCTCCGAAACCCTCTCTCTAGCCCTGAAAACATGAGCGTGTAACCTTTTCTGGCACTGCTGCGTGTTGGCTGTTCCTGCAGGGGCACAGTGTACTTGGTGAATTAGCTATGCTTGTACTGACACACTGCACTCATTGCAAATTATTTGCTGTCAGATATGTCTGGCTTAGGATGAAGGTGGCCAGCTCTGCTTCCCTATTTTCCACAGGATAAATACAGGTTTCCCCATTTTTTAAATCAGTTTTGAATGTGTATTCTTCAGGACAAAGAAGGTCAGTAGGTACAGTCAGTAGCTAATAAAAACCCCTATCTCCCCTAAACACGCCCTCTGAACTTCAGCAGCAATCCGAATTAATGGCAGGTCCCTTCGCTGAGGCACAAGCCCCCATAGCCATTAGCCAGCCACATGGCACCGTTTTATTTTTGAGACTGTTAAGATAACAGTCACAGCATTTTCCAGAGTGCCTTAGCCCCACTGGAAGCAGCACTTTAGGCACCTCACTGACTTTCAATGAAACTTAGAAATCAAAGTTTCCCATATGCTTTTGGAAAGAAATACCCAACAGTCAGACTGTGGGGTCACGTTGCAGACTGCTCCCCAACCTGCCATTTCCCTGCACTGAAGGGGCCTTGTTCTAGTATGGTATTTAAAGCTTTTTCCCCATCCTCCTTAAGAACAGCTTCCCTCAGCCCCTCCAAAAAAACCGAAAACAAGCTAAAGATAACTCCCAAGCTTTCTCCCACCAAAGGAATTATTAAAACCCTAACTGACTTTAAAGAGCAATTTGGTGGCACCCAACACTTTTTTCAGTAGGTCTGGGAAAGCGCAATTTTCTGTTCGTGTAAGCAGCAAACAACACCCAGGCTGTCTGAGCTTGTTCTTCGGTGGGAATCCAGGTTGGGTGAAACAGCAGCAAAGCAGCAGTTTCTGCATATAGACAGCAGCACCACTCACAAAACCAAAGACATGGGCAAATACTGCTACTTCTGTGCTTCACCTTAAATAGCTAAGTAACAGACCCACATTTTACATATAAACTCACTGGCACCCACCTGGGTTCACCCTCCTCACTCTCCTGCCTATTCAAGGTAGTGGCGTTACTACTGACTTCATGGCTAAGAAGTCCCATCGCATTATTAAAGTAGTGGTAAGGAACAAGGTCATTTTGTGGGTTGGAGTTCAGGCTTTTGGGGGACTGACTGCTATGGAGGGCTAGCAGGACATTTTGAAGAAGCGCAGGAGTGCCTTTCCCAAAACAACTGCTGGGCAAGACACCCAAGTATCGATCAAGACTTGTCAAAATCACAGACTATTTTTGCAGTCTAGCAGAATTTTAAAGATAGAATATAGTTTCGGAAGACATAGCTTATTCAGATACTGCCATTTAGTTGTATTCCGCTTCTGCTCGAGAATGAAAAAAAAAAAAACCCAAACCCTCCAGTATAAAGCTTAAACTAAAACAATTTTTTCAATTTCCAAATCCTTTCTAAGTAGGTAAAGGACTTAAAGTATTAATTATTTTCCCGCTAAGCCAGTTTAATTAATAAGATATTTAGAGGAAGGGCATGCTGGGCTAAGAGCAGCACTGAATGATAATAACAGATGTTATACTAAAGCTATGGAACATGCTGCCTTCCTTTAATACAAATCTTCCTCCCAAACAAGTCTTGTACATTTAAGTGCATAAACTGCTACGCTACTGCTGGATCAGGTGGAGAAAAAATCACAAGCGCTTAGACATAGAACTCATTAGGATCTAACAGCCCAAACAATGCAGTGTTTCACTCAGTCTGGATTTCTCTGGCAAAGATTGCCTGTTCTTTTAGGAAGGATTTTCTTTTCAAGCAGAAAGCTGATACAGAATAAATTCATTCACTCTCCACTGAGAAGTGATCCATTCACAGCAGAGGATAAATAAAACCCTCTGAATTAATCCTTGATTCATGAGGACCTTGTAAATTCTGTGATGGGGAAAAATTAAATATAATTAATATTTAACAAAAGATGTGTTACTTCATTGGTGATTTTCCTTGGTGATTAACCTCTTTTTGTTCATTTGTACAATCTTCCAGGAGATTAGAAATAAGCATTAAGCCCTCTTTATGGGGTCTACTTATGCCAGAAACTGGTTTTCTTAACAAATTCATGCATTCTCCAAGAAACTCTCAGTTCCTAGTTTATAGAAATGAGCGTATGCGTATTTTACGGTATAAGCGTACAGATTTTTGCCAGTGTGCTCTGCAGGATGCTGTTTCTTTTAAGCTCTGATGAAGAAACAGTGGGAAATGTTTTTATTAATGTTTCTGAGCTGGTGTTTTTGAACTCGTCCCTCAGGAGCAGCACCCCTCCACCATTCAAGCAGAGCTTTTCTCTGTGGCAGACCCATTAAGATCAGTAAAGCCTTGACAGGGTCAGGAGGATTTCCTGCCCCTCCGTTCTGGAAATCAAGCAGAGTTTTGTCTTTATTCCTTTAATAAGCCATTGCGCTCCGCGATGGCAGTGACTGTGGGCTGCTCCTCCAGCTGAGAAGGTGAAGCTCGCCGCTGCCTCTGTGCCAAGCGCTTCTGCTGCTCCATTAACCAGCCAAAGAGGCGTTTATGTCGCCAGGACTTGTAACCTTTCTGTCCCTCCCATCCTTCCCTCCAAGACCAAAACATTTCAGATGAACTCTTCCAACCTGTATCTCTACGAGAATAAACCGGTCCCCTTCGCGTAACTTGTCACGTTGCTGCTTAAAAAAAGGGGTGGACTCAATAAACAAGTCCTGCCCTTTCTTCTCATCTGACAACTGAAACTAAACCCCAGTCTGTAGCAGCCAGTTGAATCTTAACCTCGCTTTTTTCTGAGGTTGCCCTTGGCCTTTGTCTTAAAAAGCACTGGGGGTTGCTTTGCACGAATTCTTCCTTTCAAAGGCCACTATAATTTTCATGATGATTTTAGGAAGCAAAGGTCGTTACAGGAATGCAACTAAGAGCAGAAGCTTTCTGGTGCCTCAGTTATATTTGGATTCAACAGGCAGAAATTTGCTTTGCTAATAATTCAGATCTGAATAATCAGAAACAAGTAAACCAATTGCTTTGCACAGTGTTAAGATAAACAACCATCAATATTTCCTTTAGACTTGCAAGGAAGGAGAGATTGTCAGATGCGATGGATTAGGTATCAAAACATGTTACATCATCTTGAAATTCTTCCAACTACATAGACTTCCTTGACAATCAAATGGAGCAGGATTCATCTGATACAAATTTTTACAGTGTGGGCTTCTGCCTCTGAGTTGGCCTCCTCACATATTAAGAGCAAGTCTCAGGCATGATTGACCTCAGCCTAATGTAAGCATCTAAAACTGTCTGCACTGCACCTTGGAAGTGCCTGTTAGTCTTTACTGACCGTAAAGGATGCTAAGGGTGAGTAGCTGAGATAGAGATGTATAAAATTAGGGCTGAATCTACTCCTGAAATCAAAATTGATGGAAGCAGGTAGTTTTAAGAAAAGGAATGCTGCTATAGGTGAAAGTTGCAGACAGAGCTGAGGAAAACGTCGATGTGTCAGCTCACACAGAGCTCTGTTAATTTTGGGGTTGTTTCAGTAGCTGTGGCATGACATCCAACATTGCTGCTGTGAGCTTGGGGTTTGACCAACGCCAAAACACAGCTTGGCACTTTGCTCAGTGCTAAATATGAATTTTGCTTGACTTCAAACACTCATAAGTAGTCTCTTGAAGCCTGAGGGAAGAAAAAATATTCCAACAGGTTTTTGGAATCTTTGAGATTTAAAGTTCCTTACAGAAGTTTTGGGTCTCTAATCTCAGCCTGGGTTTTGCTGTAACAATATGATCTACAAAATCTGACACAGGGAGATTACTACCTAGAAAGGATTAGGAATCCCTTTTTGTCTGTGATGTCTGCCCATGACATTTCTTGTTCTGACTGTAGCTTAGCACTCCTGTTCTATGAGATTACAAAATAAGTGAATATCAGTGGGGAAAAGAAGTGAGGGTACTAAAAGT